GTGCCTCGCGTTCTTGTCTTCACCTTGCCCTTTGTAATAAGTGCGGCCGTTGTGATCCGCTGTGATAGGGACGGTTTTTGTGGTGGCAGGGTTTCTTTTTTTCGAGAGGTTTTGTTCGGACGCTGGGTTTCCCCTCCATACATTACCATGTTGGTATTTTCTCATGTATCCAGGGGCGTTCTTGCCCAATTGATGGTTAGTCACTTGCGTAAAGAACCAGGGAGGGTGTTCGTGGGTCTGCGAACATTGGTGTTGGATACATGTGCTGGATGATTTTGTGTCACGCAGACTGGTAAGATTACCGTTTGGTAGGGGGTACCGCGATGATTCACGGGGCCCCTCCTTGCTGTGGGAGCCGCTCTTTGAGCCCTCCCTCTTTCGTCCGTGTGAAGGACGATCGTCGACCTCTCGTGAAGTTAATACATCACCAATACAGTCTCACCCGACAATTAAGTGGCGTAGGCCGCAAACATTTCTTCTCGGAACCTCCCCCATTCCGGCCAAGATCTACGAGAGGCTCCAAGCAAGCCGCCACGCAGAGAACGTGTGTAGACAGATACACCGTAGACAAGCGGAGCGCGCAATGGCACGCAGGTGCATACACGTGCGCTGTGGCGCTGCTGCTGTGAGGACCGGACTCCTCGCTTGCAACTGCTTGCTGTAGAACTGACTTGTACTGACCCATGTATTGTGTCGGGGGTTGGCGCAGTGATGCCAGTGCGTTCGCTGCTGAGAAGGCAGAGCCCGTCATCATTGCATAACTGGGTCAAAGATTAGAGCAGCTTGGGATGCGGGGTTGCTGCTGATAGTAGAATCTTGGGTCAACCATGGCGCCGGTTCAAGCAAAGCTGCCGCAGCAACCTGTCAACATTTCGTGAATCGCGGTCTGTCGCAAGAAGTCTGGACTGGTGTAGAATTCTGTGCTGCTTCGCTACTACATCATGCAGTTTCGATCTCCGTGAACCATGAACAGACTGCAACCACAAGAGAGAGAACATGTCGAACCATACTGCTGTAGGTCTCTCTCTCCATGTCTGAAGGTTAATGTTCCTCATATTTGTAGCAGAGGGGCTTGGGGGGGCAAACAATTCGTGATCCTCGGGCTAATTCTACCACGCTGAATCTAATCTGTTCATGAGGCACACGAACTGCGCGCCCCAGCTACTGCGTCGTGACAGTTTTCTAGAGAAGGACGAACAAACCCGTGATAGACTACATCCTGGAGCCTCGATCCACATTGCTTCCCAAGTGTTTCTGTGTTGTTGGCTTTTTGCACCAACATTGTACAAAACCGTCGGAAGCAATAGACCAGGGAATAGAGGAGACAACAGGTCGAAGATACTGTACTGCATTCTCGGAAATTTTCTTTTCGGACACCACATGTGTGAGAGGGCTGTTCAACTCCAAATCTCACACATTGACAACATGATGGGGGCCCACAAAGCTTGAACACTACTGTACAATAACAAGTGCAATAATGGTGCATCTTAATCTTACTAGCTTTCGGGCACGTCTTCAGCCTACTAACCTCCGCGATGCAGGAGGCTTCGCGGATTGCCCGATTTTTTCCGAAAAGGTCTGTCGGAAACACTCCACATCCTTGCCGGATCTTTACTCTCATGCGTGCATTCCTACATGCATGTATCCTTCTCGCGATAAAAATATCTCAGGCAAGAACCGCAGGAGGGGGTCCAACCCCCCCCTCCTGTGTGACCCCGGTTGGGTCGTCTAGCTAGTAGAAGTGGAGGATAGGGGCCAGAGGGGCAGACGACAGAGTCCAATGATGGGAGAAAAAAATAATACCAACCTACGTTGGTCCGATATGTACCTTTTGAAATATACAACTATTATAGTTCAATGGGTACACCCGTGACAAAATCGGGCAACTTGTGGAGGCCTTGCCCGCCGCGGCGGTGTGTGGGTCGAGCACGTGCGAGCAAAATTGTAAAAACTGGTATTCATCCGGATGGGCATAATCCGTGTGGTATTCCATATTGGATAGATCTTCAAAGGTGAGTTCGTCCGGCCTAAACTTCTTGCCGGGGCATTATCTATAAGCTTCAAGTTTTTCAGCTATTAATAATAGTTTCGCACGCTATCGAGCACGTTCTTCGTTACCCCCTCCCCCCCTACCTCTTGAAATCTCGAATATTTTTTCGTTTTCACGGAACAGATTGTGCGTGCTCCTGGCCTAAGGCCGCCTCGACCCTCGCCGCTGGTTCCCTCGCTCTCTCTGTTCCTGTCTCTGTCTCTGTCTCTCTCTCTCTCGCTCTCTCTTTCTCTCTCTCTCTCTCTCTCTCTCTCTCTCCCTCTCTCTCTCTCTCTCTCTCTCGCAATTGAACAAAAGCGGCTAGCGCAGGAGACCGACTCCTTCACTCATTAGTCTAAGTTCCTCCGGCCAGGATGAGGTCCTCTTCTACCTTGACGCTTCTTGCCGCGGCCTCAGGAGCTTTCCTGGCGAGCATGCCGGCTGTCGATGGCGTTAAATCTATCTTCGATTTGCGAACCGGCGACGACTATGAGAGCGACAACAACTGCGGTAAGACGTGTGGTTCGGTGGAGCTCCCGTGATATTGTTTGTGCAGTAGGCCGGCGGGGTTGAACCCGACCTCGCGTGCCCTCCGTTGATGCTGTGCTTGGCAGCGTTCCTTTTGACATTCATAAAAGTGCTGGGATCTTGTGTGCCGAAAATATTCTTATTCTCTAATTTCCGTTCGCACCCCCGTAATATATAATTCAGGAAGTTGCTCGTGCTGCTTCTGCACCATAAAGCTCCCCCTCTTCGTCACAGAACGCATCATTTTCGTAGACATGACTTCTTTCGCAAAGCTGCATCGGTAATTTTTGGACAACGGCAGAGCGACAGCCGATTGCGGCATATTTTTACGCTCCTTGTTTGCTTTTTGGATATTTGGCATAACGTGCAGCAGCACGCGGATACATGCTCTCGATATCTTCAACTACTCCTGATGCCCCCAACACGACGCGTGTCATGTCCCTTGCCACCCTTCTTTATCGGTATTGTGGTGGACTCCGAGGCCAGGAAAGTGCGCTATCTGCAGATCGAGGGGTCCGACTACAACTCTTCGCCCTGGATGCAAATGACGTGGAGGTATGTTCGCTTCAGTGGTGTTGTGCGAATTGCGGCCAACTCTCTTGACAACATTCCACGACGTTGGTCGTGCCGAGTCCCACAGACAATCGTTCCCGTTAGCCCTCGCAACCCGGGCATGTGGACGGTGGTGCAAAATGTTGTCTGCTTCCAAGAGGCGCAAAGCGCCATCAAAATGTGCCCGTTTCTCGTGTCACCCTCCTCATCGACGATGAAACAAACCCCCCGATAGCCCACCACTTGTTTTTGACGAAGACCAAGCGTAAACGGTTGTGGTTCTGTTTCGTTGAATGCACCTCACCTACGTGTAGATGATCGTTTCCGCGCGCCTTCCCTGTGGCAAAGACAAGCCAAGCGACACGGTGCGCTTCGCGATCGATATCTCGTCCGTCATCGTGTGCCCCCCCCACTCAATGAAAGGCAATAGACCGATGAGTGCGGCAACGCCGTTACGGACGATTTCTCCGAAATCGTAAGTTATAACGGCGATTCTATCGAAGACGAAGACCGGTAAGCACGTCTGTCGTTCCCGTATGAATCGTAGGATGACGTTTGACAGATTACCCCTCGTACACTGCCTGCCAACATGCACTCAACATGCGTAGAACGTTTGCATCATTGCGGAAAAAATCTCCACCATTTGCTGTGCGACAACGGTAGAATTTTCGGTAACTGCTTCGAGCATGACTCCGTTCTGATGTCCGGTGGCGCTTGCGCTTTCGCTGTACAGCAACAGAGTGCCGGTCTGCAGCTGTCGAAGGTTGTACGTGCGTTGTACGTGCCCAACTCACTTTCTGCAGGCATTCCTCATCTTAAATATCGTATTTTCCTGTCGTTCGACTTTGGGTTTGTGGCGTAGGCTGCAGATGGACATGTACATCTGCGCCCCCTGGGGAAACTACGAGCTAGAACTCGTCTTCAAGAGCACCAAGGGCGGTAACGCCATGGAGAAGATCGCGTGGGAGGTCGAGTACGGCCCTGATGAGGTTAGCACGGCATGCAGGCTCACGCCTACGGCTGTCGCGATCGTGCGTGTCTTCGTTTCCCTGTACCACTGTAGAACGTTCAGGATACCCCACGCCTCGTTCCTCGGCAACCCCCTCCTCCGCTCTCCACAAGACTTACACTTCTCACCATGTTCTCCCTCATGCATGGCAGTACGACATCTGGGACACCCTAAAAACTCCCTTCTTCGACGACAGCCTGGACTTCGCCCCTATCCCCTCCGGCAGCGGAGGAGGAAACATTCACCTTTCCTCTTGAGGGCTCCGAGGGGAACTACTCGGTCATGTACTCGGGACCGTTCCCTCCGCTGGAATGCAGCAACCTGCACCCCTCCGGCATCACGTACGAGAGGTGGTACAGCGTGGGGATATTCGGCACCGCCGACGGGCCCACAGGTATATACTACTGTTCGTGTGCTTCGTTTTGTTTTTCGTTATTTGTCGTTGCGACCGCTGTTGTCCACGTCCATCCCTCCGCGAAGAAGTATCCCTTGTGGGTGGGGATTGGCCGAGATGTTTGTACCAGGGTGTTGTCTTGAGCTTCGTACTCCGGCACGAGATCATCAATCCCCCACCGTAGCCTTTCACACCAACGCTTTTATCTCTAGCGGAACCGAGTCATTGCCTCTGATTTGTCATGACCTAACTTCTGCACCGGAACAGGTAGCGCCAACTACCACGCCGAGAACTACCACATGTTCGACGGCATCGACGACGACGGGGTGAACGCTGACAAGGTCACGACACTGGAGGTGAGTATGTACGGATCCCAATGGGGCACTCGTCGAACCATTCTGTTGTATTTTTACGATATGTATTTTTTTGCCGGATGATGGGTTGCTGCACGTTGAAGGGAGGAGACCACGCGGTGGTGTTGCCTTCGAACTCACCCAGCTGGCTGGTTTCCACCCACGCCGAGAGGTTTGCCGACATGCGCGCACACGCCTAACATTAGCCCCCGTTCACATGCATAGGAAAATCAAATTTGCGTCGTCGAAGCGGTGACCGACCGTAGCGTGATGCCCCCTTCGCCTGAATAGTTACGGCTGCTGTCGTGTAGCAGGTGATCAAAACACGTACATCCAGTACATCGTCTGTCAATCCCGTGGTCTTGCCTTTTCACAGAAATGCGCGGCCACCTGCACAGCTCGAGGAACGCAGTACTTCGGTCGCGAGTTCGCGGTCAAGGTGAGAGGGCCCGAAACCAATGCTCGCATTGTTGGTCGTCATCCGTACCTTGATAGAGCAGACCTTGAAGGGATACGAACGTACCAGGGCAGTTCTGGATTGCAGGCGGCTGCGCATAGACGTAGTTTGGAAACCTGTGCGTGTCTGTCTTGCAATTCGTACGATAGCCAACATGTTGTCCGCCCCACGCCGCGGTCAATTTGTTGGATATGAACGTTCCACCCGAGACTGACGAATCGCTCCACCCCTGCCTCCCCTCCCTTTCCCAAGTGCCTATGCGGTGATGAGCTGGTGGGCAGCCGTACCGACAACGTCTACGGCGACGGGGGCTCCGTGTGCGCATCGACATCACGTTCGGCGGCGACGCCCCCGACTACAAGTGCCTGTGCTCCGGCGACTCCCGCGTGCTGTGCGGTACCGACGACCACATCTCGGTGTACTCCCTCGACGGCAGGACCGGTGGCGGCGACGACGACTCCGGCAACCCTCCCGTCGACTCCGAGTTCATCGGATGCGTTGCCGACAAACCCTGACGATAGGGTGAGATAATGGATGAGGGGACGAAATCTGTTACGAGGTTTCGTGGTTGTTGGCTAAATGTAGAAAAGACAATTATTTCCTGATGCTGGCTTTAAGCGAGTGTAGTGGGGTTGGGTGTCGCGTTAAGGGAAAAGAGATCGCACGGCGGTGGTCAAATGCAAAAAAAAATGAAAGCGCATGCGAGAAGGAGTTTTGCGAAGCATGCGCTAAGTTGTGAGTTAGCCTCATTTTGATCAGGAATCCGGGTTGTTTGCTCTGGTAAGGCCAATCATCTGGAAGTTTTGGCGTGAGGGTCTTCCCTGAGAACCTGTTTTCGCGGTCTACTTCGTAATTTGTGAAGTGATCATATTTGTATTCCAACCTCTTGAAACGCCGGCGCAAAGTGCCCGCGGCGGGTTCCGCAGCACGGCGATATCGGAACTATTATGCGTCAAATCGCGACTGCTGTTTCCATTCTTCTATTCGATCCTCGCACGTTATCGTTACTCCAATCGCAGGTGATGTCTGTGGGACCGATCGCGGAGGACACCATGTCCGCGGAGGTAGGAGCCTTTCGGTCGAGATGTTGTCGAGCGTGCGTTGGTGTTCGTGCTGGCCCTCAGATGAACAAGAATCTAAACACAACAGTCGTCTGTCCGAGAACACGGACACAAGCCAGGTTGTAGGTCGTTAGCCTCGTGCATGTGATTGGTGTTGTTGCACGTACTGCGTTCTCCAAAGTACGAGTGTCGGAGACCCGACACTCATGCAGCTTGTCCTTGGGAGCATGTCCTCTCCTACTACGTAGCGGGATGCTGCATTCGTTTCATACCGTTTGTGTTGAGTGATGTCTCCCTGCTCCTCCAACCCCCCGCCCCGTTTGCCTCTCCTTTTCAGATCTGCCTCGGAATTTGCTCTGGAATGGACGCATCGTACACCCACTTCGGCACCCAGTACGGTGAAGAGGTGGGTGGCGTCGGGTACTGTATTTTCTGTGGCTTTTGATCCTGTTGGCGCTGCTCTTGTTGATGCGATGCCGTTGCCTTTGTTATCGGTGCTGCTCCTGGTGACTGCCTTGCGGCCTTTCTCGATTCGATTTCTGAAGAGAAGGGACAACTCTGGCACTCGACCGCCATGACGCTTCATATCGTCCGTGTGGTCACGAATCAAGGAGGTTGGGACGACCCAGTTCCTGACTTAGGCCGTCCGTTTCGAGGTCGATTATCTCATTTCACCACCAGAACCCTGCTCTTCTTCCCTCTTGCCCATGTGCTCGCCTCTCCTCTCCTCTCCGTAAAGCCCATGTCCCGCCCTCAGTGCTGGTGTACAGGATCTCTTGGGACAACCGAGACCTCCACCGCCTGCACCTACCCCTGCGCTGGAAACCTTGGGGAGACCTGCGGCGGCTTTGACGCGCTTTCCCTGTACGAGATCGCCTCGAACACCCCTCTTCCTACCCCCGCTCCTGCGCCGACCCCGGAGCCCATAATCCCCTCGCACGACTACGAGTTGATCGGATGTGTTGCCGACGACCAAGACAACAGGGTGAGGAGTGAACGAATACATTAATGTTTTGGGTTTCGTGGCTCGAGGAAGCAGTATGGCCATTCTCGCACTAATCTCGCAGATGGCGGGGACGCCGCGTGAAAGAACGGAGGTGTGGGTGTCTCAATGACGGCAACTGTCGTTCGACGACAGGGACAGAGAAACAACAAACGGTGGATGGTGGAGCTTTCGCTCGTCTCAAGCATATGCTCACGTTGCGTGTAGGGTACAGGTCGCGCCACGACGTGTTTTAAAACTCTCCTATTGTGTGCGGGGCTGGCAGCTTGCTTTCACTGCGACGCTTTCGTAATCAGCGGGGATTTTGATTTACTCGAGTATATACTTAGATGTCCTAAGATTAAATTAGCTTTCACAGCACTCCTGTCGTGCACTCCAATCCGTGGTCACACAGAAGGGTTTCGTTCCTGAGCCCCCCTATACACCCCTCGTGCGGTGCTTGGCCTTCGGGTTTTAATGCCAACAATGGCGTTCGAGTTTTTTTTGCCACGAATGGCCTTCGGTTTCTCATGCCAAAAGGAGTGCAGCACTCTCATCGTTCTGTGTACACATGAAGAAGCGCTTTCCACGCAGGCCATGTATGGGAGGGAGAAAAAAACTCACCTCGCTAGAAATGCTCGCTTACGCCGGGATTCAAACCCCTGTTCCTGACCGCCAACCTGCCTTCGAGGATTCCAACTGGGCTCAAGGGGCGATGGGCCACGTGGTGTGTGCAGAGTCGCTGAATGAGCACCTGTTCTTAATATCAACTCATGGGTCGTGTGATGTTGGTTCTTGTCCTTCTTCTGACTCCCGTTGCGATATACCGGCCTGTCCTGCAGCACGGCTTCACTGCAACCAGCCCTCGAGATTAGGCTTCTTCGTTGAACGATCATGAATTCGTTGCCGTGCTGAACGCTTTTCTCCGAATCGCAGATGATGTCTGAGGGACCAACCTCGGAGGACACCATGTCCACGGAGGTAGGTTCTGCGGATCATGAAATGGTCTTTCCATTCCCAAATTCTCTACCCAACTGTGTTACTGAGGCTTTCTGCTCGAGACGTTGTCGAGCGTACGTTGTTGTTCGTGTTGGCCCTTAGATGAAGAACCTAAACACAACAGTCGTCTGTCCAGCTAAGAACACGGACACAAGCTGGGTCGCAGGTCGCCAGCATCTTGCATATGGTGGGTGTTTTTTTTTCGTGTTGGTGCACGTACAGTAGAGGTCCCTGTTTAGTGCCGGTGGAATAGTGGCGGTTGCCGTTATTGTGCCGGTGTTTTCGGCTCGCACACACTGGAATACGAAGTCGTTCTGTACCTCGAATGGTGCCGGTGTCCGGTTTTGTGCCGGTGAAGTTTCGGCGCACACCCCGGCACTAAATAGGGACCTTTTCTGTACTGCGTTCTCCAACGGGACAGTGTCGGAGACCCGACACTCATGCAGCTTGTCCTTGGGAGCATGTCCTCTCCTACTACGTAGCGGGATGCTGCATTCGTTTCATACCGTTTGTGTTGAGTGATGTCTCCCTGCTCCTCCAACCCCCCGCCCCGTTTGCCTCTCCTTTTCAGATCTGCCTCGGAATTTGCTCTGGAATGGACGCATCGTACACCCACTTCGGCACCCAGTACGGTGAAGAGGTGGGTGGCGTCGGGTACTGTATTTTCTGTGGCTTTTGATCCTGTTGGCGCTGCTCTTGTTGATGCGATGCCGTTGCCTTTGTTATCGGTGCTGCTCCTGGTGACTGCCTTGCGGCCTTTCTCGATTCGATTTCTGAAGAGAAGGGACAACTCTGGCACTCGACCGCCATGACGCTTCANTTGCGCTGGAAAACCTGGGGAGACCTGCGGCGGCTTTGACGCGCTTTCTCTGTACGAGATCGTCTCGGACACCACCCCTCCCACCGACTAGGGTGGAAGATCTTTCGCCCCTCCCGGTTACAAGAGCCGCGCTTCCAGACGCCATCAATGTCCGTCACAAGACAGCCAAAGTTACGATTGGGGATGCGCATAGAACAAAGCTCATTCTGCCGGCTCAACGGCACGTGATTGGGTTAGGATATCCTTAAAGTGCCTTTTCGAACTCAGGATGGGGGACCCATGCACGGATGATTCGAGGTGTTATCTATGTTATCTGTTCATTTTGATGGACTAGGGTACGGCGGCCGCCGGCCTCATAAGCGGGGGACGTTTAGATCAGTTAGTCGTGTACTTGTTTATATGCGTTACGGGTCTGGTTGTTCGCCAAGAATTGTTGTACCGAACCGTGCCGTGTGTATTATCCTAGCCCCCTCTTCGTTTTTCCCCCCGAGCTGCGTGTGGTGTTGAGTGCAGGCTGCTGCGCTGCTGTGTACGGGATGTTGGCATTCTGATCTTGACGTATCGTCTGTGTAGAATGCCGTTTGCGTGTTTTTTTATACTGCTGTGTTGTGTGGATGAATGCTTGCTTCCTGGTGAATGCAGTGAAATGCGCTTAGCGTTCTCGCGGGGCCCGTGTTTTGCACACGGATGGCACCAGTCCATGCGTTATTATCCTTGCATGTTGAGATAACGGTGGTGGAAATCGTATGACTTGAGGGCAACATGGTTCGGAAGGGTTAGGGTCGCACGAACCTCCCACCCTCCCGAAATCGTTTACCCGTCAATGTTCTGTTGTGAGTTGGTCGCCGCCATGAGCGTGGGCAGATAGGGAGGGTGGGTGGTCTTCCTGGGATCATTTGGTACCCAAACCACCTTCAGTCGCAGTCTCCTTTCCGCTAGCAAATACTTCACACCAACCTTTTGACCCTAGAAGTTCCTCGTCAGTTTCATTACGTTAGGTATCATTGGGAAACAGTCAGTGTGGTCCCGATGTGGTTTTGATATGATGCAGTGTGGTTCAGGTCTGTTTTTGATGCTTGTGTAGGGTCTAAATCCGTTGCTCGTTGCGACTATATGTAGTGTATGGCCGATCGAGGCGTGTTAAAGGAAGCGGAGGTAGGTAGGAGTGGTATTGTTTCGTGCGGTATGGTCTGCGGCACGGTGAAAAGAAGAATAGAACTCCCTACTGAACAATTGTCTCATTCCTCATGTGCTCAATCCCACCAACCTTTCGCAAACGCACAGCATTTGCGCTAGATGCATGCATGTTGAGGGGGGAAGACGCAAGGGAAAAATGGGTGTCCTAGATTGCACCGCGCGTGAGACTCTTGGCGCGTGGCGTTGTCGTCGGCAGGACAACGCCACACCACGCGGCTGGTTTCCGACCCCCCAACCCATCCATCCATGTAGAATCCCTGGCCTGCCTCACAAGGCATTTTGGTCTGTCTGTCTGGCATGAACGCTGTCAGTTCGATTTTTCGCAACATCGATGGTCCTTTTCTATGGTCCGTTTTGGGGCTTGCAATGCACTTTTTCGACACTTACTTCTGGTAGGCAGTTCGTTCAAAATTGCAATAGTACCGTCAAACGCCCCGTCTCGAGGTGCACTAATGT